AGATTGAAAAGATATGCCAATTATTCTACCTGGATGAACAGATTATTTCAACGAAATTGGCGCTGAATTTATCGCAGAGGTATCGAATATACGCGTAAAATACTCCAATATTTGTGTGACACGGTAAAAAGCATAAGACTATTTTAAATAAAAGTATTCTTCGAAGAGGAAACGTTCTTATTCGACGCACTCGGGGAGAAAGGGGAGAAAATAACGTAAGCTGAATGCAGGGAACGACAAATCAGCCATTCCGTACAATAAGGATCTCTTTCAATTAGACCTTACATCTAGAAGAAACTCCGTCTCCCCTATTCTCCGGGAAACCCGACAACGATCGCACAACCTCGAGCGAACTGGAGAAATTAACGAGTTTCCTTTCCAAACCCCTTCACCCGCTCTGATCAAAGTCGTACTCGCAACTTTTCGTGACTTTTCACGGCTCATCGAAGTCCCAAGCGACTCTCGACGAGAAGAAAACTCGCATTGTAGAGAGTAACAGCGAGAGAGAGAAGAGATAGGAAAGGGAGGAGAAAAAGAGAGAGGATAGGCGTAACAGGTATTTACCGTCGATGCCATCTCGAGGCTGCTTTGATGCCGTCTGATAGGCGACGACGAAGCCGGTATCGGCGGAATAAATTGGAATCGTGAGCAGGCTCTCGATGTTTCTTTCGAAATCCACCGGAAGCCATCGACGGCGACGCTGTTGTCGATGGAGTCGCGAACAACGCAGATAAATCAAAGTCCAATGACGACGTCGATGTCCAAACGGTAAAGACGAAGGGTCGGAAGGGCTAGGAAATCTTGACTAACGAGAAAACAAAGCTACAAACGAAGGAAACGACGTCTCGCGTCTCTCGGACAATCATTTTGCCTATCTAGTCGACTACCTTCCAATTTCCACTTCGATTTCATTAAGAAATAAACAAGATCTCTGAAGTGAAGTTTCAGTTTCTTAGGGTGGATAGGGACGGATAACTCGGAAGTTCCGCTGGAGAAGAATAATTGGCAGGTTTCCTTTAGATCCTTGTCACGGAAGACCTGTTCGATCCTTGGCGATTCGATGCTGGAATTTTTCGGGTAAACAGGGTTTGCGTGGGTGGACGTGACTTTTAGCTATTCTTGGGAATTAATGGTCTGTTTGACGCATCATCCGAGTGTATGACACGGTATTTTAAATTTTCCGGGGTTTAAAGGTCCACGAAAATAATCAATATTGTTTAAGTTTAATTATAAATACTGTAGTATCGCAGAATGCCCACCTCGTGTGTAGGTGACTTTGGTTTGGGAAGTCGCCGAGGGTTCGAGGGCCAGGTCATTCGGAAAAACCCGGGCGATGCGTCAGGCCCTTAGCATGACCATATTTGGTCGTGTTGGGGGAGGCTTTTTAGGGAATATATAAGGAAGGCAGAAATGGTTAGGGGTCCCTTCTTCTTGAGAGACAGTGCTTGAGAGATAGTTAAGCTGGGTCAGTGAGTTGTAATTGTGTTGTTAGTTGTAATCGTGTTGTTAGTTATAATTGTGTTGTTAGTTATAATCGTGTCGTTAGTTGTAATTGTAAGAGTTTAGTTGATATATATCTATATTCGTAGTCTTTACCGTCACCCCACATTGTATTATTATATTTTATCGTCAATAAATAGAGACTATATTATTTAACAACCACCGTGTCTCTACAATACATTGCCAAAATATATATCTAATGCGGACGAGTTACGAAACAAATTTTTCCGATTCGATTGTAGAGGATCAAGGGAGGTAAAACAGACCCAAGAGGTAAATTCAGATTGACTGTCGCGAGGTTTGGATTAGGTTGTGCGAGCACAGAAGTGAAAATGCGCGATAAGGATCTTGGATATGTTTCGCGTTTTATTTGCGATTAATCGTCACGTGAGGGGAACTCGTAAGTCACAGGACTTGGTAATTTGCGTTTACTTAAGGAATTAATGGTGATCCCTTTTCTTCAGTAAGGGTTTAAATTCTGGAATAATGCTTCCTGCACCTTCGCTTTATTCTAGATATCCTCTGTTTATTTTTAATCTTATTTTAAATCTTCGAAAAGAATGTTCTTTAAAGTTTAATTAATTAAAAATTCAGCTTGATTAGTGATATTTTAATCAATTACTATGTTATTTATCGATCTTTGAATGATTATTACCGCAATTTTGTTATCGAGACATTTCTAAAAGGCGAAATTTCGGAAATTCCACGTCATAATCGATTTAATCGCGATAAAATTCGATACTGCGGCTGCAGCTGAGGAAGCGACATTTTGAAATTCCATATACTTTGATTCCGATGTCTTGGAATTAAATCGGGCATCAGTGTGCTTTGAATTCATGGATTATGATCTCGTGATGGCGAATTATATCGAGTAAACCCAAGCTTGGGGCTCTCGAAACTAACCCAGTTACCTTCGACTATGCTCTAATCGCTTGAAGTTTATCGAGCAGAAATTGTTTAAATAGCCTAGTAACTCTGTTTACGCAATTTAAGAACTTCCTGACTTACGTACATACGTCGTGTATCTAGAAAAGCGAGTTATAATTAGAGTAATTACGAAGTTTTCTCTGTTCGATAATTTCAAAAAAATTAGAAGGAACGTTTCCATACGATACGGAAAAATCCGACAATCTAGTTAACACCTACTTGCGAAATTACGATATCAATCATAGTTCGTGGTAGGGAAAAATTATTTAAAAAGTATCGCGAAAGCGTGAGAATATTCTCTTATTGAAGAACGAAGAAGATAGAACGAAGAAAAATTTATTCCAACAATTTTTAAATAATTAAATATATTCGATTAAATAATTATAAAATTCTTCTACTCGCTGCTTTCTTATTAAAATATTTTTTTTTAACGAGAACTCGTCTCTTCGTGCGATTCGTAAATTACTTGGAAGTAAGATCGAGGTTCGATTTTGAACGTTCGATTTCACACGATTACGAAGGGGTAGCTCTTTAGAAACTCGATTTCATCGACGTTCGAGGAACGATCTCGAAGATGCCCCATCTGCTTCCTCGGAACTCATTAAAATCTCTCCTGCACATTGTCCACTTATCATCGGAATCGATGATTGGATTTCGTCCCCCTTTTACTATCTTCCTATATATCGTGTCAATTAATTCGTGCTCCGTAGTTATCGAATGAAAGTCGCGTATATTTTATAGAAAAATCTCGATTAAATCGTCGATACCCTCCTACGAACCGTGCCATAGTAATCTCCTCTCGTATACTAACTCCGCCATTTTATAAGTAACTCCGAATGAGAAGTATCAATCAAAATGAATTATACGAGTCGTAAGTGCTATTCGATAGCAGTCAGCTCGAAGATTTATGCGAGTTTCTATAGAAGTATAACGTCTATCAGTGGTAAAGAGACACGCCTGACCACAGACGGCCCTGTTTCACTAAGATTGGTTTACTTTACTTTCGTACTTTACTTTAATTGCCAATTACGTTTCGTTATTTATCGTGCTACTTTCCATGTTGACCGTGTTTCGAGTAGAATCTTCGGAAAATACAAAAATCGAAATAAATAATTTTAATAAGAAATATTTTACGATTTTCCTTATTCCAAGTGAAATTATCGATAATTCGGATACTCCAGGATGGAACTCGTTGCGTATTAGGAATTGCACTGTTTCGTACTTTTATCTTTCACGAAACTATTCTATAACGAAGTACAGTTTCAGCTAAAGATAATATCGCAAATAAATCTTCGTGACAAGGCCGTTTCTAAAAAAGAAACGAAAGAACAAACGAAACGTTTTGAGGTCCGTTTCAATGCGATATTTCTCGCTAATCCCATAAACTGCGTACAATTTTTATTTTATTTATTCCCACGTTTCAATCAAAATATTTGCACGGAAAATATTTGTCGTAGAATTTCGAAATTCGACGCTGCCGTGGTCGAGGATAGATGGTCGCGGCGTTTATTAAAAATCGGTAATTCCGAAACATTGCTCCTATCGAGCAGCCATCGAAACAGAAATTCGCTTTCTCGAATCGCGATAAAGAAAGAAAGGAAAACACAGGCGAAAAACGGAAACAAGGGACGAGAAAAATAATATCTCGCGAGTGAATGGTTGCAATAATAGGATGGCGGTGCGCGTATCTAAATATGCAAATGAAATATTCATGAAGGTTCCGTGACGCGGAAACCCCTGATAAAAATGCATTTATTATCCATTAAGAAAACAATAGTATAATAAATATCGCACCACGAGTGCATACGGATTTGCTTAAAGATCAACGCGATGCAGTATTTGCGAATATTTTTTCGCATCCCCTTTGTGCCGCCATTTTGTCGTTTCAGGGCCGTTTCGAATCCGTTTCGAATCCGCTTTGCAATCGTTACGAAATAGTTTTAAAACCTTCGGAATTTCAAAGGCATTACGCGCCGCGTTCGAAGCATTGGCAAATATCATTCCTGAACTTTGCTTTCGAATTCCTGGCCAGCGCGTTTAGGATACCACTCGTCGTCGGTTTCGGTTAATTAAAGTGACCTTAAGTAAACAGGATTAGTATGGTTAATTGGAAAGCTTAGCGGAACTTAGGGACAAACGGATTAAACTATCAATGTATAGTTTAGAACGGAAGCACGCCGCTCTCGGACTAGTCTCGTCAAGGATTAATTGCCACGCACGAAGATCGATCGAGCTTCTTCGTCGCCAGACTCCCGTTCAACGAGAGAGAAAAATTACCGACACCTAATATTCATCAATCCATGGAGCATAAATCCCTCGAATCTGCAAACCGAATCTATCTTCTTGCAATTTACGACGCGACAGGAAATTAAACGAAGCCTTCTCTGAAATCCATTCACACTCTCTCAGACATGAGAAAATGTACCGAATCCTTCCATCCACCATTGGGATTTCGCAAAGGTACCCGTTGCGATAAACATCCGTCGCAAATCCGAGACATCGAGACATCGACGGAACGATACCGCCAAGCACTGGGTATCAATTCGATATAAGGATGAAAAGGTTGTACTCACCCGGAAGTGGCCTGTATGTCGACTTCCGGCCAAGAGGGTCTCCTGCGGCAGAACATCAAAGGCGGTCGGTCACCGGAACCGGTGCTCCTGCGAAAAGAGCCGACCCTGCGGGGCGACGTGCTGCCCGACGCACTTCCGGCGGCGGGGTGCACCGTCAGCCCGGGAGCGGAAGTGCACTCGAGGGTTCGTCTGCGCGTGGACAACGACCGGCCATGGGAGCTCGTCGCCGCTCCCGGGGGTGGCACCACCTGAAGCAGTAAACAGCGATCGTGATAATTAGAAGCCGGCTGCCTTCTGGATCGGGATTAAGGCGGATCCGGAAGAGACGTTGCGGTGGATGCGGATCGGGTAAACAGAGGGCCAGGACGTTCGTGAGTTGGCGGAGTTGCCAGGACTTTGAGAGTTTTCTGGCCCTCGCGGGATCGTGGAGAAGACGCGGTCTGTGGGATCGGGGAGGGTGTGGTTTGCCTGCTGCGGATAACTGGGTGGAAATTAGGTGGTTTAAGTATTATAGTTGGGTACCGTGGGTTAGGTTAATCGAGTTAATACGCGGGTTAGCGTGGCTGTATTATTGGGGTGAAATTGCAATGCAATGGATATTTAAAATTTACTCTTGCAGCGGGGTGCTGGCGAGAGGGGCGATTTTTCGCTTGCAATTAGATTAGGGGTGGAGAGAATTGTAACGAGATGGAATTCATTTTCTTTTATTCCTTTTTCTTTTTTTTTTAGGATTATGGTTGAGGTTATTCCTGTTGCTTTAATTTCGGTTGCTTTAATTCTCGTTTCTTAACACTAGAATTACCAAAGAGGTCGAGATGGCTTGTTTCAAATTTTATTTTTGCCAGTTACTGGAACTGCGCAATTACCCTCGGCAAATTTAAAATTCATTTTTATTCAAACAGAGTCGTAATTACGTACGCTTCTTTATTTCTGGTGCACGATTTTAATATTTATAGAGTACGTTAAATTTTGGTACATATTGCAGGTCCGTAGTTCGAGTGTTAAATTTGGGATTATAATCTGAAGTGAATTAATAGGATTAGGCTTGATACGGTTTATGGAGTAATCTAGAAGTAGACGGTAAATGGGAGAATGGTGTATCGCTCATTCTGCTATGATGTCTATGAAGATATCAGGGGTAGAAGTTTAACCATAGAGATAAGATAGAATGGGAACACGATAAGCTTCGAAATAGGTGGCTGATAGTAATCTGTGAAAATAACGACGCCGATGTCGTAACAAATTTTTATACGGTACGTTAATAAAAGCTTCATTTTCCCCACGTGAAACGTAAACGACCTTTTGTCATTCGGCCGACTCCTTTCTGTCAATTACACCTTGCATTAAACAACGCGTTCTAAATAAGACGATTATTCCTTCACCTATGAATACGCATTTGATTGGTACTCTATAAGCAGGGTTATACGAATAATGCCTGAAAAGAAGCAAAAGTTTGTCCGCGAACCTCCCTTCGTTCGATTACACTCCACCATATTTCCACCTGACTCGGTAATTCGAAAGCACAGCGCTTATTAAAAAGTTTCGACGTCCCCGTTTTTTCAAACGGGGACGCATTAGTTGACAAGGGTACAAAGTCAATTGCCCGACAAGTTTTCAATGCTCACTCGATGGAACTGATCAACGTATAATCTACCCCATTACCCACGAAGGGTACAAAGTAACGAAGAACCTTACGAAATTGTAGGCTTCCCGATAATTTAAAAATGGGTAAATACACGCATCAAGAAATTTAGAAAATCGCATAATATCTGATTCCACCTCTATATACATATATAATGTAATAGAATTAAAACTGAAAATAATTATTACGAATGACATCAATATTAAATCCAATAAATGATCTAAATTAATAATAATATGTATTCAACCTAATGAAACATTTCCATACTTGATAAAAGCACCATAATTTCCAACTCTCTCGACCCTCGCCTTGTCAGTATTTTGACAGTTATCTGAATTTTGTCAGACTTTTTCATAGAATCTGGGTACTGGTAAAATATTTCAATAGTCTGTCACTCACCTTAGGGTAACCATGAGGCGTGGACTGCGGTGCGGTGGAGTTGGTGTTGGTCGTTCCGGTGACACTTCCGGTGGAGCCACTCCTTCCGGCGGCGCTGGACGCCGAGTCCTCGCGACTGAAGGAGAACCTCTTCGGGCTGAGGTTGAAGTTCGCGACGCTGTCGCTTACGTATTGTTGCAACGAGTTCAAGAAGCTCATCGTCGTTACGCGTGAAAATCGGCTGGGACTCTAAGCGAAAGACTGGCGCGCGTGGATCGGGGCAATTGTCATCGTTTTCCTCGTGGCACGTCCTCGTTCCCGAACAACGGCTTCGGGGCGTTCAGTTCGCGGCAGCTTTGCACGCATCGATCTCGAAGCGACACACGCTGGATTGGCTCGGTGATATGGGGAGGAAAGCACCTCGACCTCGGCAACTTTCACGGTTCTTTGCGTCACGGTATCGATTCTGCCCCACAGCCATTTGCAATATCGTTGCTATCGCTGCGGTCCCTCGTCCTGGGCCCGGCTCCTTTAACTCGCGATCGTTGCACTGCGAGCGACGTTTCCGTGCTGGGTCCCTGACATCTAGCAGAGGAAAGACACTTTGTTAGAGAGAACCGACGAATCTTGATGGGTTTGGCGGTTTATTCGCAAAAGCAGCAAAAGGAGTTAGCAATGACGACGATACTCGAATGAGAAGATGAAGTTGATTATTGAAGTGTAAGGACACTTTGTATCGTTGAGACGATTTATTTAAAAATGCACGTTGTTTAAATAGAGTGCAATCATAACGCAATGATAATGATTGGTATAAAACAGTGAATATACGTGGCTGAACTGTTCGGCCTCGGTTCCGGAACTAGACTGACTGACCCTAGGAAGGCCCTATAGAGACCTTGTAGTCTAGATCGACAGAACAGAGGCTCGTGGGGCTCGAGACTGTGTCACATCGTTGATTCCCACAAGAAGGTCTGACCTATCGATTAACCATAGTTTACAATTTCTAAGGAGAAATCGGCCTTGAAATTAATATCATAACTCGATGAAGCAACTCGATGAAAATTCCATTAACCAAGCACGCGCTGCTCTCATAAACACCCCTCGTATTTATTTTTCAATATGTAAATCGGCAAGGTAAACAACGGGAAGGAACAAATACTATCGGAAACGAAATATTTGCAACGGTCTCTCCGAACCGATTGCCCATTTCCCGGACTGTTTAAACAAGTATCGATTGAACAGCCATCCTCTTACATAAGTGCTTGTCTTCCTCGATGTCGAACATCTCGCTTTCAGGGACACGCGAGTTAGCCAGAATTAAACCAGCAACTTTGTCACTGACGTTTGCGAAGCTTACGAAACGAGAACTTTCGGGAGATCGCTCGAGGAAGGCTCTTCAGAGGCATTTTCAACGGTGCTTGTAACTTACGTTGTAACACTCTGACGAATTCGACTGGTGGGATCCTTGAAATATTCGGTGTTGAGAGGATTCGCGGGGTCTAGGTGGATAGCAGGGATGGCAGACGTGCTTTCAGAGGTCGGGCGAAATGAAACAGCGACCCGTTGCGTTTCCGCTTGCGGTTTCGTTGGTATACGCGAGCGCAATGACGGTGAATCTGGTGAACATCGATCGGTAGTTATGGCTGTCGAGCGATGACTTGGTCGAATGGTCGTCATTAACCGAGGCGAAAATTTTGCGGAACAGATCGAGGTGTTCCATGGATATTGTTACGAATTTGAATAGCTGGCTGAAAAAGGCTTTAATTATCGGTTGAATTAATCCCGATAGGCTGCGCCAGTACTCGCGATCGTTAATCGGTTCTGAGCACCGACGAGTGTTGCAAAATTTTGAAACACGGAAACAATTAGGCGAGGTTTAAGCTCGAGAGCCGCCATTAATAATTCGAATAGTCTAGACGAGAGCTTGGAAACTCGCTATTTGCAATATCGCGATAAATAAATTCTCCCGACTGCGTTTAATTATGAGAGTAATTGCTGTTTATTATTTTTCGTTATTATATCTGTATAGTATGACAGTTATAGCGATTTAATTCTGGTCATTTGTTCTGCGTAAATTTAATACCGAAAATGATTTGTAACATCATTTATCAAACGTTTTATCACGTATATTTGCATCTCGTAGTCGGTTCACGTTGAAAAATAAAAAGTTTGCGATATATTTGGTGACATAAAAGAATTCATCATTTTTTTAAAAAAAAAATTTGACTATCACGGTGTTTTTCAAAGTTTTAAAGTGGATTGAATTTGTCAAGCATTGACAAAAACAAACTGCGAACTTTAAAACGTTACACGATTTCGCGAGAAGCAGAATTCCGTTAATTCGATTCATCGATGAATCGATTTCGATCTTCAGGTACTATCGACGCGGAATAAAAAATTCACGAAATTTCACGTTCGCGTTACAACTTGCTTTGACGCAAAATGGCACCGAACCGTTCCAGAGCTTTTCAAAAACAAATTGAAATCGACTGAATCCGAGAAGACATTTCCGAATGCAGAAAATTTGTCATTGCGTAATGGCGAGGAACTAAAAATTCGAAGTTCTATTCGAGCAATTCTACTGTTAAAACGTCGTCTATATGTACGTATGTACACGTTTATGCTCGGATCAATACATTCTTGCGATTATTGCGAAACTGCAGTTCTCCATCAGGGAGCTGATTAAATGAATTTCACCCCGAACGAATTGAAATTTATCGGAATTCAAACAATGTACATTTAAATGCATGTTGCTTTTCCATCTGCATGTGTATAGTACGTTTCTCGTAATAAATGACAAAACACGTAATATGTAAAATCGAAAAGAACCATATTTCAACAACGACGAGATCATGAACCTAATTTTACTCGCCCAATTTCGCTATATCGAGTTGGTCAACGACTAACGTCGATATTTCCAGTATTCGATCGTAATCATTTCTCAAAAATCGAAAAAGTTTCATCGAATTGACAATTTACGTATAACATATTATAATCGCAAAAATTCGACGTGACTAATTAATTAATGCAATATTCTGGTAATTCGATTGTTCCATTAAACGTTCCCTCTTTAAAGACTCGAAAAAAGAATTATTCAAAATTCTTCTGGTTCTCGAACAGGTTTATATTTGCTTGTCAAACTATTTCAACAACAATGTTACTCGATGATAAGAATTGTTTAACTTGGAGCAATTTCACAGGCGAACGGTAATTTGCGGACCTGCGAGTCCTTCATTTCCCAGTGACTTCTTCGAACGCACCCTCATTATAGTGATCGTGAGTTTTGCGAGTACGCCACGCGTAAAATTCGTTGAACAATTTCGCAAGCACGCCGAGAGACGAAATCCACGAGCGTGCTTGGAGCTCTTCTTGTGGCGTGTCGCAATCCCGTCGACGCTCCACGACCGCGATTAATTAACCCCTTAATCGATACTGCTTCGAGATCGTCGACGATGTCGCCGCTCCCCGTGGATATTGGTTTCTTGGGATTTTCCGAGGCTAACAAAGGCGACAGCCCTTGACGACAATTTGCGTTTAAATTAAGTCGTCAATGGAAGCTCCATGAACGTCGTTGTAGTCGAGTGTCGAAGACTAGTTATAACAGTCTGTGAGTGTAATTCAACTTTCCACTCTTTCGACGAGACAAAAATTTCAAGGCACGTCGAAGATCCTCGAAATCAGATAGCTAAAGAAAATTTCAAACGTTGGCAAAAAGAAAATAGCAATTTCTCAGCAGCAGAATCTCGCTGAGGAGAAACAGCAGACATCAAGAATCCCGAAGCTTTATAGAAGTTTAAGCGCGTGGAAGGGTTAGAAGATTTGTCACAGAGCCGAAAATTCTGGCAGCCGTGGAAGCCTTTGAACATGGAGGATTCGCAGAAGTTTAATAACCTCAAAGACCACGGAATTTCGAGAACTTTAGGGGCTATAAGATCCTCGAGCACCCTAAGGAGTCGTAGAATCTCGATGAACTCCGAAATTTATAAAATTACCGTGTCATATCAGATTTCTCCGGAATTCATTCGCGTTACGTGTAAGTGGTCTGAAAGTTTCGGGAACAAACTGCAGAGACGTCGAGTCTTCGTGTTACTATTCTCGAGTTGCTGAACAAATTCCCGCAATTGGACTTGCAAATCGAAAGTCTCCTTGCGCGTTTGACGAGTCTAAGGGTGTGGCTATTGGACCCGAGAATACGTCACGCGTACAATGCAAATGCCATTCGTGCACGTGCATGTCCCAGCGTGTAACTAATTCCTAACTTCGTGAATTGGCTTCCGGTACCACCAAAGTCACGAGACTTGCTCGGGGTTATTCGAGGAGCAATGAAAACCGGGATCCGATAATCTCGAGCTTATAAATGTCGAAAATTCGCAACCCGGAAGCGTTCTATTTCAGGGTGCTCGTAGGCTCCCGTATGCATAGTAAGAGAACCTCCCGTGCGAGAGATGACGTCTTAGGAGGAATTCGGAATGGTCGACAATTAAAGGTAAAAATATCCTCTACCAGCGTGTCGACTCGTGCAATTCTAACGACTCTAAGGTCTACCGCGTTTATTTTTAAACCTTCGCCATTTCGCAATTTCCATGCTTCCTTGGACACATTCGTGCCGGAACGATACAACTAGGCGGAACCAGCCGTCGTCATGAATCTATTAAAATTCCTTTGCCCTATTTCACGGGGAAAAAATGTTTCTCTGTCGATGCGTGCGTCAGTCGTTAGTAATTCTCGTCCGAGGAATGAACGTCCAGTGGCGGTAGAACAAAGTTTAACGAGTTCCGGTACAATCTATAAAATATGCTAACGAAGAGGGGAAAAAAAACATTCTACTTCGGCTTTCATTAACCGGGATAAAAAAGAGTATTCCATGGGGATCCAGAAACTTTGAGCGAACACGTCGACAGGGAGCGAAACGAACGGCAGGATGTAATTTGTTTATCATTGACTTGGCGAATTCTGCAATCCTTAACGGGGCCAACTTCATTAAAACTTTCCCCAATGACTCTCATACACCGTTAAGACGCGTTAATAAACACCAACCGGAGATTTAGACCTCCGAGACGGAAACGCGAGACATCGGGACACCGTTGCGCTTCATCCTTGGCCGAGTAGCAATTCGTTAATATCCGGGGCTGAAGTTTCTTCCTCTATCGTGGTCCACGTATTAATTACTCCACGGTTAAACGGATACAAGTCTCGGACTATTTGAGTTCGCCAAGTACAGCTATCAAGGATTTCTTTCGTTCGGCTAGAAGCCGCAGAAGGAACGAAGTTTGGCCAGAGGAGACATCTTTGTCGACTTCGAGGGCCTGTCCCCTGACTTTTATGGGTACTCTGAGAAGGTGAATTATTTCCGTTAATACCACGCTCTTCTGGAGACTTTACAAGTCTACTTTCGATCAATTTGCTTTAAAATTTCACGCTCTGTCAATTATATATTCCCCACTGAAATGTTTCAGGAGCGTGTAACATTTTTAGACGAAGAAGTTCGATAAATAGAAGGTACGAATTTAAAATTTCATTATCACGATATTCGTGTTTGTAAGATACCCATTTATAGATGACAAAATAAATATAATATAACAAAT